CAATCCAAAATCCAGAGTCATTTTTCTGAAACGAAAGTTGGATCCTGTCACTCCTCTGCTCAAAATCTTTCACTGGTTTTCTATTTCACTGGCTAAGCCAATTATTCTCTGCTCTTACCTCTCAATACTCCCCACTTACCTTGTCAGCCCAGTGGCACTGCTCTCCTGACTGTTCCTAGAACACTTACAGCCTGCTCCTGCCTCAGGGCCTTTGCACTGACTGTTGTTGATGCCTTAACATTCTTCCTTCAGATGTCCACATGGCTTATCCCTCATGCCCATCAAATCAAGGTCAAAGTACACTTTCTTAGGGGGTCCTCTGTGACCTGCTTTTACGCTTGAATGCCTGCAGCTGCCATTGCCACTCAGCACATACTTTCTAGGGCAGGAATTTTATTCATGACTGTATTTCCAGGGTTTAGAATAGTACATGGCCCAGAGTAGAAATTCAGAAATACTTACTGAGTGCTTGTTTACATGATTACATGAAGGAGTGGACACGCAGTCGAAGGACTGTTGACTGAGAGTCACAAGTTTTAATTGAGTCACACGGGGTCTGGGAGACTTTGAGGAAACTGCTCTCTCCCTCTAGGTCTTGTTGTCTCCGACTGTGAAATGATGGCCTTGGACCCAGGGCTCTGTAAGGATGCTACAAACAGCTGTATTCTCAAAGTCAACCAGTCAATGATATGTGAGAAGCAGCATTCAAATTTGTATTAAACAGAGCTCAGAGGCAGAGAAACATTAAGAAGGAAAGAGGCATTATGGAAGTTCCAAATGAGAAACAAAATGTGTACAAGAGACATGAGGATTTCATATATGAGGAGAGGTACAGGAGGCAGATGACTGGGCCGGGCTGACACAGACCATTCATTAGAGGACTCAGATTGAACCTCAGCCCAGGGATAAAGTATCCTACCAGCCCAGAAAATGACACCAAAGGTGGGACAAAACCCATCTCATTACAAAGCCCTGCACAGACACAATTTGTGATTAGAACACTGATTGGAAGTCTTTCCTCACGCCAGCCTCATGGCCCCTAGAGTGGGTGGATTCTCAGATTAGTCATAGGAGAACAGACAGTTTAACAGAAGAGAGGCTGTTCTAGGCTGTTCCATTTGGAAAAGAATCATCCCTTCGGAAAAGGGAAGTAATTCAAGATGCACGCAGTTTTCAGTGTATTGCCCACCTGTCTCAGGTGGGAGATACCGATTGGCCACCATCTTAGACAGGGTCCTTGGAGAGAGGGTGGAAGGGGATGGATTAATCAAGTTAAAGGAGACACTTCAGTGCTACAGCTGCCGCACCCTGAGTGTGAGGGACCAGACTGGTTATTCAACTTCTCCTGAGTAGCTACCGTGTGGATACAAATCTGAGCCCAGTAAGGTCAGCGAGTTACTCGGCAGTAACCAAATCCGTGGTGTTGCGGGGATTATCAGGGCGATCTCCCTCTGCAGTCATGGTTGAATAGGATTTTGCTGTTGTCACCTTGTTTGGTAACAGGGCAATAGCAAGTGTTGCAAGTGTAATTGTTGCTGTTGAAATGTCCCCTTGGCAGTTCCT